CCCATAAATGATCTCAACTGTGTCCATAGAGGAGTTTTAAAAAATGTACATTCAAAACTTCTCACCTGAACCATCACTATCCTCCTCCACAGGTATCTCCACTGCCTTCACTGTCACAGCTTGCAACGACGACGATGATGATGATGATGATGATGATGATGATGATAACCACTTTGTTGACATTTTTGCGGTTTTCGGCCGGTCACCTGCTGGGCTGTCCCCTTTGTGTTTGTGGGATGATAATAACAGCGACGACGGAGACGATGACGATGAAGGTGGAACCTTTGACCTGAAAACACACCACACAAAACACATCAATCGTTTTTGTAAGATTTAAGGCACTTGCATCACAGATAGTTCAGAGAAGTGCTGACGATTAGAGATGTTGCAAGAAAGAAACATACTCTCAAAAAGGAGGAGAGATAAGGACGATAGAAGTTTGATAGGAAAGGAGGGGAGATAAGGACGATAGATGTTTGATAGGAAAGGAGGGGAGATAAGGACGATAGATGTTTGATAGGAAAGGAGGGGAGATAAGGACGATAGATGTTTGATAGGAAAGGAGGGGAGATAAGGATGATAGATGTTTGATAGGAAAGGAGGGGAGATAAGGATGATAGATGTTTGATAGGAAAGAAGGAGCAAACAATACCAGAGCACCCGCCAACCACCCACATGTGTGTCACTATCACTGAACATGCATGAACTGAGTGCACTTCTGTGTGATGCTGAGACTGCCTGTGTTGACGTTTTGGTAAATCCACCTAAAATTGGTCACTTTTAATTAAAAGGACAAGCGGGCTAACCCAGATTTCGGGGGTTTCCACAAATTTTGACCTACCCCAAAAGTGGGCATTGCCCTATCTATAGGAGAAGTATGGTTTCATCGGTGTGTATATTTGTTTGGTTATAGAGAAAACTCTCCTTGTCTTTTAAAGAAACTGAACAAGGGGCAAAAACTTTACCTTCGAATTTCTCAAAACAAGCCACCAATTTGCCTCTTGCATAAGGTTTTTCTTATATCTGATCTCATCCTATCTTTTTAAAGTTTCAGTAGAGGTTTTACGGCGCTCGCAACTACATAAGGTCATATGAGCGCCAGAAGATTAGAGGTGTTACAGGAGAGTAACAAACATAAAAAAGAAGAAGGGGAGAAAAGGACGATAGATGTTTGATAGGAAAGAAGGAGAAAACCACACCAGAGCACCCGCCAACTACCCACTCATCCTATCTATCTTCTGACTCCATGATACAAACTTTTGAGTAACGTGAAATTCAAAAATCCCCACTGTTAGCTGCAAATATGGTTACACCTAAATTGTTTACAGTCAAACTGATAAAAAAATGTTTTTAAATACAAGACAGATTGTCTCGAGCCTTTGACACAGTGTGCAGGGCATCTGTGTCAGAAATGTGTCGTGTGTAGTGTGTAGTGTGTTACTCAGTTCTGGCAAAAAAGTGAAGTTAGTACCATGCCATTCTAAGGGCGCCCAGAGTAGAGCTCAATGGCTTAATGAATAATATAATAATTTATAATAATACAATATTTATACATTTATATGAGGTTGGCGGGTGCTCTGGTGTGGTTTGCTTCTTCTTTCCTGTCAAACATCCATCTTCCTTATCTCCCCTCCTTCTTTTTGTGTTTGTTACTCTCTTGTAACACCTTTAATCTTCGGCACTTACAAATAATAATAACAATATATAACATTTATAGAGCGCATTTCCAAAAAAAGTAGCTCAATGCGCTTTACATTGGAATACCCATTTTTCAAAACCTTTCTTACTACTTCCTTTCTTCTCATGCAATACATTAAAGCACACACACACACATACACACACACACACACACACATACACACATACACACACACACACACACACACCTATATATGACCTATTGTGTTGCAAGTGCCGTAAAACACTTACTAAAACTTTTTTTAAAAAGAAGGCAAACGAGGCAGAGGTAGACCCAGAGCAACAAGCGTGGACCAGGAAACTGTTACCAGACGGAGGACAGGACAAGATGAGGACAAGATCTGCCACTGTCAGAGTCCGTCTGCATTTGGAGAGCGATCTGGCACTTCATGTTTTTGTTCGCCAATTATAACTTTGGCCCCCCTTGCGTTGGTATGATTCTCTCTCTCTCTCTCTCTCTCTCTCTCTCTC